GCCGTACAGCAGTGGAGTTCTTTGGGCTGACCCTGACATAAACATTCCAGAAGCATGCTTGTCTCACAAAGATGCCTGGAGAAGGAACTCCACAGTCTGGGTACCACCAAAGAAAAAGCAGGTATCTTTGATTGCCAAACATCTGAAGGATGCCTGCAGCTGGTAACTTTAGATGCATTTAACTCCAACTCCATTAATCCTCAGGCAACATAGGCCATGATGACAGGTGATTAGGCAATTGTATTCCAACACATTTAGATAGTTGACTGATGAAGTCTGCTTTAATTTTCAAGGCATTCTTAGCCATTTCATAAGCATACTGCATTGGAATTACTAGTTTATATACAGTAACATAGTGTAAGAGTAAAACGCTGGACTTAGACCATGGAAGCTAGGTACGTTCCCATTTATTTGTGAAACACATTGGATAACTCTGTCTTCCCATCCTATTGCTAGGATTGTTGCTGTGAAAATAAAACTAGAGGAGACTCCTGTATATACCATCTTGAGCTCCCAAGAAAAGAAAGAATAAAATAAAATAAATCCATATGTAGAAGTATGTAGAAGTATCTTATTCTACAACTGTGCAAAACTGTTACGTTGGCCTGCATTTTGAGTTTGGTTCATAGTGTCTTATTGATAATCATAACATCCAAGGTCCATGTTTTGTACCTACATTTCTCATTCAAAGCCAGCTGCCCACAAGAAAAACAAAGTTATTGCATCAAAGTCAGGTATCTGAGGGCTATGCATGAACAAGCAGGAATATAAAGTACTTTTCAAATAAAAGGTTAGTTAGAGTAGCAAGATCAAAAGCTTAGTTTTTAAAAATGTGAAGGAATACATCTATGAGTATATGAATAACTCCTCTCACCCTTAAATCTGCTATGGACTATTGGGCAAAATTGCATATTGCGTATTTTCCTATATAGTAGAAATACAGGGAAACTGAAGTAAATATTTTAAATTAGTACCTCTGCAGAGCATGAGATGTTTAAAAATTTAGGGTCAGGAATATACGACAAATGTGAATAACAAAAAAAAGGCAGCATTCATAAATGAAAATAAACAGAAAAAGGAATAGGGATCCTATTCCCACTATATTTTTCCTCAGTTAATTTTATGAGAAGAGTTGGTCCTGACAGACAAGTCATCTTTTGGAGTCTCACTATGCTAACCATCACAGATAGAAATCCACATTCCTAAATATTCTTCTATGCAAAACATGACTTGAAAACCCCAAAGTAGCCAATCAAGAAACAAGCTAACCTAAAACCCTCCATCCTGATGTGTTGTTTTCTCTGTTTCTCTCTAGGCCTTATTAAAAGAAAGCAGCAGGAATACAAGAGAGATTTGCAATACAAGTAGAACTGCTTCCTGTTCAGGATACTCCTCTGTTAGAGCTTTTACTGCATTTTCAGGCATTATGCCTTTTTAGGGATAAAAGAGGAATCAGTTTGGTGGTTCAGGCACCAGGCTAGGAACTGGGAGACTGTGTGTTTTAGTCCTGCCTTAGGCACGAAGCCAGCTGGGTGCCCTTGGGACAGTCACTCTCTCTCAGCCCCAGTAAGAAGACATGGGCAAACCACTTCTGAAGTCTTGCCAAGAAAACTGCAGCGACTTGCCCAGGCAGTTGCCAGGAATCAAGACTGACTCAAAGGGGAGGGGGGGGGAAAGAGGGGAGTGAGGATAAGAAAGAGGATCATCAGGCCCCACCCTTGTCATTACATTACCTGCTGACTGTGACATCCATCCACAAAGATATATACATTTTACAGAAAGCGTTTGCATATAAGCAAAATTCTCTCTCAGGCTTTTCAACCCAATGCTTGGAGAATGAGGAAACTGAAAAAAAGGTGTGACAGTATACATGGCACCAGGGAACAGAGCACCCATGCTCCCAGCATTAGACAAGTAGGACTGGGAGAGCACTTCTCTCATAGAAGTGTAGAGATGGAAGAGACCACAGGGACTGTATGGTCATGTGATGTGGTACTTTATAGCCGCATCGTTTAGTGATGGAAATTCCAGTCCCAATTACTGTCATTTAGCAAGGACTACCTATACAATAGATAACATAAAACTGTAATTAACCAAATTGAATAGGAGAAAGGCAAATTAATATATTTCTAAAGAAATCACCAGGAAGAATTAACAAAATCAGTTGTTACTATACTGAAAGGTAAAGCTTAAGGCCACAACCAAATTAAGTATTAATCAGAGCCAATCTTCTTTAGTTTTCTCAATCAACCAAAGTCAACTAGGTGCTGCCATCAAGCTAGCCAAAGTAGAATATGAGAAGAGAGGGACAAAAAACAGAAAAGGGCCATGAAATAGGAGGAACTTTTAATATCTGCACACATGGATGGAATGGAAGTGAGAGAACCCAACTGACAGATAGTTGGAGTCAGCTGAATTGTTTAATGGAAGATTCCTAATGTTAGGAAAGAGATGTTTCATTGTGTGATTCTTCATAAAAATAAGGGCAAATGAAATAGGAATGAATACATTCATACATTCATTCATTCCGGAATTAATACCACCCACTAAGAGTGTGAATACTGTGTCCTCACATATTGGATATGAACATCCAACCAATTTAATAAACATATTTTAGGTTTGATATCTTAAAATATTATTCATGAATTACTTTTGACAACATTAGAAAATTACTCTTAGTTCAGTGGACAGAAAATTGGTATTTTTTTTAAAAAATCACTGAATGAGGAATCTAGAACATCAATTAGACTCTATGTAACATTTTACAGAAAGGACAGTGTATTGTGAAAACACAGTCAGAGAATGTGCCTGTTATCTCACAGGTGGTATAGAAGGAAAGCTATGTGGACCTTTTTATCTTCCCTCAAGAAAAGAACCAGGTGTACTGCTATATACCTGTAAGTGCCATCCAGATACTTAACTGAAAGACATGTTTCAGAGAGATAGTTCAGGTTGTTACTGTTGAGGAACAAGTCACCTAATGGCACTGAAGATAATACATTTGTGACTAATATAAGTTTCTTTCCTTTAAATGTACAAAAATGGCTCACAGAGTAACCTCAGTCAAGATATTTTCCTCATTGCTTGACAGAGCATGGAGACATAATAGGATGCAATAAGCAATCCAGCACATTCCTCTCAGCTCCATAATGCCTATGAGTCAGGCAGACTCCTGAACTAGGGAACAGGCATTACTAAGAGAAGCACCTTGCATGATTTTGAAAATCACTTCAAATATAGCCCTCCCATTTGTGAAAAGATGCAGATGTGGCCAAGGATGCAAGTAGAAGACCATAGAGCTTGCAGTAAGCCCCTACTCTACATAGTTTTGGGTCATATATAATTTGAATGATATCTTACTCAAAACCAAGTAGCATTTAGGGCTTTAATGTAGAGATGGGCAGGTTTCTTCCTTTAACATTTGTGGCATGAACTGGAATGCACAAGGCCTAATTTCAACTTTTCCTTTCCAGTTGCTAGAGGAACTTTACAAGACATAACCATGCTAAGCTTCCTAGTAATTTAATGTACCAATTGTAGTGTTTCATTCAGAAAAAAGCAAAACCAAAGTGTAAAAACCACACTGCTGAAAATCACTATTTTGCCACTGAATTTTGGTAGCACAATCCTGAAGGCCCTGGGAGGAGCCAGGAAAAATGGATCAGGGAGGCCACATGCCCCTCAGACCAGCTGGTTCTTCAAATCCTTTAAAACTGGTTTAAAATTGATTTATTCAACTGAGAGCAAAAGAATTTGCTGGTTTTTTTAGTAATATTTTGTCCCTGCAAGCAAATGCTACTATATCTTGTTTTAAATTTGGTCTTTTTCAGATTCATTACTTTGGTCAATATATCATACTGTTTCAGGCAATGCCAATTAATACTTCCCCCAACAGAGAACTGGCTGAAGCTGCCTGGAAATTAATTAATTAATTTATTAATTTATTTATTTATTTATTTATTTATTTA